CTTTGTATTTTTTGGTGTATATAGTGGTGAAAGGTTGATTGTTTCAACCCTGTGTTTTCACATGGTGATGCAGTGACCCTATACCTGTTATAGGTGTGTCCTTTGTTGTAAATGGTTTCTCCTGGTTTAATATAGGGTCAATTGGTGATATAACCAAAAAAAAAAAACTATCTAATATTCTAACTAAAAATCCTAATTTTAATGATTAGGAATTGGCCACATAGATGATTTTTCTTAGATTATTAGATATGGATTTTTTTATAGTTATCCATGCTAATTTCCCTTAATATAATCGTTTTTTAGATGAAAAAAAAAAGTTACGAACAAAATTGTGGGAGTCAAAACTAGCACAATTAGATTTGTAAGGGTTTCGTGAGGAAACAGAGATTTCTAGGTTAAACTACGAACGAAACGATGAGCAAAGAGAAACGTTTGTTATTGCTATATATGCTTTTGTGAATAAAGTTGCGAATTCCTTTTACAAGGGTTTGTACATTGATATATATAACTCCCTTAGTCGGCTAGATATATTTCCTAAAGATAATCTTCACTTTCCTAAGTCTTCGTGGATTTCCTTTTTCTTACGTCGGTTGTGTCAAAGTGGGCCTCGCCATTGGACCGGGCTTCAGCGCAGGGAACCTTTACTCTGGCAGGTCTTCGGTGGCCAGTGTCGTCGTTGGCACTGTGTCTTCGCTGGCACTACACTTCGCTGGCACTACTCTTCGCTGGCACTGCACTTCGTTGGCACTGCTCTTCGCTGGCAGTGTGACTTCGCTGGCACTGCTCTTCGCTGGCAGTGTGACATCGCTGGCAGTGTGACCTTGCGAGCACGGCGCCGGTTATGCACTCCTGACCTATGCTGCGAGTAGAGAGGACTCAGAATGCTCCTTTCTTGGACGGAGAAGATCTAGGAAAGGAGAAAGAATTCATCTTCTAGTTAGAAAATGACTTGGAAGAATCATATAACATATGTACGTTAATGCGATTTCGTGTCTATGCGCTGCGCTTGCATAACTTTGGACTTCAACGTTGAGCGGATGAAATCCGACCCCAACAGTTAGCTCCCCAGCTCGGTAGTGTTAGTGATAACAGTATCGAGTTAAAGACTATTGGATGTCAATGTTGCCGTTCAAAGTTATTACGTTACTGTTAGCGTAATGTTGTTCGCTCGGGTCATCAATACTGTAGCGGAGGACGATTGTCCGCGTTTGGAGATTTTAAAACTTCATGTTTTTATGAAGATTTTAAGACTTCGCGCTTCGCTTGCTGAAGCTGACTGCGCCGCTGCTGAAAAACAGCGACGCAAATTTTTGTATTCATGCTATAATTATGTTTACCTTGCATTGTAGCGAGTGTAGGATGATAACGAATGCGGCTTTTGTTTCTTGTCTTTCTTACGAGTTGAGCTCGTTCTGTTCTTTGATAGATCATAAGAACTTCAAGAGTAATGGTACTCGCTTTGTTAACTAAGTCTTACGCTTTGCTTCTACCAACATTGTTGTTGGGTTTGTGGACAACAACACCTGTCCGAGAGCGAACACACATTTGTTTTTACCAACGTGTTGTTGGTTTTTATGAATGATTATTCATCTACAAACTGAATAACCATTGGCAGCTCTTTTTAACTAACGATGTTGTTGGGTTCATCCGCCCCAATGCTGAACATTATTACTTATATAGCGCGCTTGGGATCCAATGATGGATGTTTTTGTGTTCGAGTTCACACATCGTCGTTGTGGCCAGCATCAACGATTGCGGAACGAATTTGCTGGCAAAAGCTTTGAACATCCCATAGAGGATGTAGTTGATGGAGTCGGTGAGACTTGTGTCAAGTGCCTGACGTTTATAGAAAAAAAATGTGTCAACAAACGTGTCTTCGTCATCTCTCTCAACGCTAGAGGCTCGCGAGTCGAATGAGGAAGAGGAAGGCGATGACAACGGGGCATCCGCATTCCCGGGAGGAAGTTGCGAGTATGCGACGTCAACAGACCTAGGGTCTTCGACGACATCAGAGACGTCGGCGGATCCGTTCGAAGTCATCGGGTCTACGCTTCGTCGCCCAGACCTCATCGGGTCATCAGAACAAGTAGACATCGGGACGACAATCGTTGAGTCCTCGGCGATGCGGCGCATATATCTCGGGGCGCCGACGAGCTTGCGACAATCGAACCCCGACATGGAGACTTCAGCATCGGAAAGATAGGATCCCGCGTCTTCGGGGACATGGAGAGAAGACTTCGTGTCTTCGGTGCCGTGAGGGACGGTCCTCATGTCGTCGGTGATGGGAGCGATGACCGTATCCTCGCCGGATTTTTCGACAACATCGGAGCCGCGGTCACCCGTTTCGAAATTGAGATCCATGAATTTACTAAAAAGAGGCAAGAGGAGACGGCAAAGCAAGGAACGAGGGCGGTGGCCGGAAAACACGTCGTCGGCGGCGGCAAGGAGATAAGTCGGCGGT